CCGTGCCCAGGGACCCGTCGGCCGTGTCTCGCCGGGCGGTGCCTGCAGCCTGGCGCCGGGCTCCGTTGCCTTCCTGGTTATTGGTGTTTTAAACAAAATCGGTTGTTTTCGTGCGGCTTCTGTGCCTGTTGAGGTGGTTATTGCTGGGTTGCCTGGCGTGCGTACATCTGTGTGTGTGTGTCTGCCTGTGCTCAACACAGACATACAAAAGGATTTTGAAGCCAAAATACTCTAATCTTTAATATCTGGGAGTGAGTCGTACAGGAGAAAGCCGTTCTTCATGACCCTGATTATTAAAAACTGTTTTATGACAACGTTGGCTGAATTTTGCCAAGGTCTAAGCAGTCTAAATTGTGTTTGCCTTTTGTCTGTAATTCCTCTTTGTGACCTGTCATATAGTGTCTATTTGCTGTACAACGGCTATTCTTCCAGAAGTTTTATTGTAAGCTTTGTTATACACAAAAGCTTTTAAAAATCAATGACAAACCACATTGAAGGTATTAATCTTTCTGTTCGGTGGAGGGTCTCTTTTAGAAATGTCCTGCAGGTTTCTGGCTCCTTCACAGCTCACCTACATAAGGATCACCTACATAATCGTCTAGTCCTGTGTATCCTGAGCTGCTAGCAGCTTCAGTGATGTTTTGGAGATGACTGGTGGTGCTGCTGGGTCACCAGGGCAGTTTGGTACAGTAGCAGTTACGCAAGTACTCTCTGGAGATATGGAAGGAATGTTGCTCAAAATGTTTGTGTTCATGTAAAAATTCAACAAAAGTATGCCTGACTTGATATTCTCCGCACAACCCCCCCTTTTTTAAACTAGGGATTTCTTATGTTCCTTTAGTAAATAGGAACCATAACATTTTGTAATCTGAATTCAGCTGTCAGTAACAGTTCGGACAAAATTTAAATACTTGAAGTGGCTATGTACAACAACTTCTGTCAGGTTGTATTAGTTGCTGCATCTATACCCAAAGGTAAGTTCTGAGTGCCCAGAGAATCATTTGCAAATTCTGTAAACTGTTTTTGGAAATCTTCTTCTTGACTCGCCATATGAGAAGGCAGTGTTGAACTGTAGCCCAAGCCATGTTCTGACTGCCAATGCATGCTGTAATTAGTAGTTCAGGCTCTGTACAGTGATACATACTGGTTGCTCTGCAGACATGTAAACAGTAATGAAGTAATTTAACTTTAAAAAAATAAAGTAAATCTGAATTCCGTACTGCATTCTAACCAAAGTTACTGAAACTTAAAATGGCAGTAGGTCCTTGAAATGAAATATATGGTATGAAAGTCCAGGCTGTAATTTACAGAGTTAATATTACTCTGAATACTGGCTTGCTTATTAAAGCAGAGGCCAAAGAGGCATTTCCATTAAAAGGGACAGCGATCTTAAATTAGTTGTCTCACTGAATATTATTTTGTTGCGTCATCACATTGGTGTATCAATGCTACTAAAAAAAAAAAGTGATAATAAAAAAGCTGTTAAATAGATCACTTCTTATTCACAAAAGCTGGATACTTGTTTGTATTTCATTGTCTCTGTTATTACCCTGTGTCCTGGTTCTGTGTGTTGAAGCTGGGCTGGTGGGTAATCTGTGAGCACTACTTGCTTTTTAACTCGTATTTTCAAAGCTGTAAGAAATGTTTGTAAATTTATTACATTTTGTTTCCAGAGGATGCAGCTCCTTGGTGATTACAACTTCGACTGCAAGCTATTTTCATGATCTCTTGGAATTATTGGGTGCCTGCTGCACACCAACAGCTGTAAAACTCAGAACTGTGCTCCTGTGTAACATCTTGATGCTGTTGTTGCTGATGGAGAGAAACAGGACTTGGTAGTTCACTTGGTGGCAAAGTATTCGGAAGAAAAACTTTCCAGGGATCTGAATTGTTTTTACCATGGACTCCTCATCTGTCCAGCAAGATGTTCACTTGGAGAACAGAAGCAGTAGTAGGGCCCTTAGCAGCTCTGAAGAACTTCTGGATTGTGAAGTCAAGTCAGATTTGCCAGTTACAACAGATGAAATTAATAGTAAGTTACTCCATATGCACCGAATCGTTTCCTAGTCTTACCCAGGCTTTTCTGTTTTGCTTTTCAGGTGATGCTGAAGGACTTTTTTCCTTGAGGTAATGAATTGCTTGTACAACAGCTTTAAGCAAGTTTGGTGAAGGCTGTGTCTCAGTGTATGGCAATACTATATTTTGTTTTAAAACTTACTTTTTCAAAACAAAACCAAACTATTGACAAGTACTATTGGCTCTCAGTGCTGCTCAGGGTGTTACTCTGTCTTCTGGTAGTGTTTCCAGGAGTATATACCTGAAATTCACTAGAAATAAGTGTTCTGAAATGATTGTTGTGGAGTAAGCTCATGAGCTCATGGAGTACTTTATTCTGGCAAAAGAAATTTTTCTAATAATTTAAATCAATGAAGCAAAAATCAAAATGCACTCAAAAAGTCCCCCTAAACGTCCATTTATGGAGGAGAGATGCTGGCATGTACTTCCCAAATTATATCAAAATAGCTTTTATATGTAGACAAGCTCTATAATAAAGTAATTGTGCAGCTGTTTACAAGAAACTTATGAGAGCACTGATCTGAGTAGATTATAGGATCAAACTTAGGTTGAAAGGGATCTCTGTGGGTCATCTAGTCCAACCTCATGTGCAGAGCAGACCTAGCTTTAAAGCTAGATCAGGTTGCTCAGGGCCTTGTCCTGTTGAATTCTGAAAATCTCCAGAGAGGGAGGTTCAACAGCCTCTCTACCCATTCCGGTATTTAACTGCTTTCATTGTGAAAATCTTTTAATTGTATTGAATTAAAATCTCCATGTTTCCACTACAGGTATCTAAGGATATGTTGGTATGTATATGATGGTAGATGGGTGGAGGAGATGTACGTATGTTGCAATGTGTAGATACACAAAAGTACAGAGATTCCTTGCACGAAAGGAGGTGATCATGTGATGAAGTTGCTAGCCTTCCGCCCTCCTCTCCTACTGCAGATTTGTCATCTTGTCACAGGCGAGAAAGTGGAGGCCTGAGACTTTATTTGCATTTCTTACACTGCCCGTTAGCAGACTGGCAGAGTGTAGTGACATGATGATTCATTCATCTTTTATGAAGTTGCAGATCACATGTTCCTGTCTTCTCCTTTGTTGGACACTGTCCAAACAGTTGAATTGTGGCTTACAAATAGGTAGTATGTCTTTCTGCTGTTTTCAATCTTGCATCTTCTTCACTGTTCTAAAAAGCCTGCAGTTGTATTGACACTACTGCAATTAAATTAGTTTAAGGCAGCGTTTAGATTCTGAGTGTTTCATGGCCTCAGGAAGTTGCCAGGAAACCATTCCTCCAGAATTTTGCTCCAGCATCTCTTTTATGCGTGCATACCACTCGCGGTTGTGAAGATGAAAACGTGAATAAAGTATAAACCTGATGCCGTAATAGCTGCAGTTTCTGAAAGATGGGCAGAAACAGTATTTCTGAAAGTGGGAGGTACCTTCTTATTTCTGGCTTTTGATGGCTATTCTTAGCACTGACATCTATTTTAAATTTGGGTTTGACAGTCTTTTAGTTTTAAAATGCCTTAAATTCTAACTTTGATTAGCCATTAAAAAGGCAGTCCTATACTCTGTCCTCCTTTGCATCCTTGTTGCACCCATCCCTTCCATCATGCCTGCAACTGTTTTTGTGACTACGTGGTGAACTAAATCAGAGAACTGATTCAGGCTAAAATGGCCTGAAAATGCTTTCTGTGTGACAAATAAGATACTCGAAAGTGTTTTAATTCAAACCTTAGTCAGCTGATGGGTTTTGGCAACCTAAGGCTGAAAACTTTTTATTTTAACCCACATTCAGTTTCCTCTGAGCTGGTTTGCTGTACAAATGTCTGTGCTGGCTTAAGAGAGGATGCACCACAGAGGTGGGAACAAATGGTTAGGGGTGGAAATTTATCCTCGTTTAATTACTCTCAAGTGAGATTTGACTGCGCTTAAAAGGAAACCTTTTGCTTTCTTCAATATCAAAAGGCGAAACTATTACAAAGTCCTACCTTCCTACTTTTTCCCATATGGCTTATTTAATTTCAGGATGCACTTTAATTTTCTACACATACATGAATGATAATCGCTTTATTTTTGAATTGTTTTGCTTTCAGAAGTTTGTAGTGATTCATTACATGGGTGGAAAAGTTTAATAGCAATATGTAAATGGGCTGGTCTAAATCAATAATTAAAGTTTTATTGAATCGTTGTAGTCAACTTCCTGGCTACAGAATATTTCTGCATGTGCACCTTAGATCCTCTGAAAGTGTTTCTGTTTCTCAGTTCTCATTTGTTTTTTTCTTTCCATATCTTCTTTGAGCAGATGAAAATCCAAACTGCTTATTGAAGTCAGTAGCTCTGAAAGGACGAAAAAGTAGAGAGGAAACTTGATTTTTCCAGTTGCAAATACTTTGTGATCATAAATGTTAAATATTTTCAAACATCTTTATGAAAAAATAATTAAATCTTCCATATTGTTCCAATGAGTTCCAGTTATTCTAGTGATCCATGGTGTGGGAATGAACAGAAAGGCAGTGGCTATTTCAGTACCCTGCTCATTTGAGATCTATAATAATGCATTTAAAGTTAGATACAGTTTTGTTGCAACAGCAATTTCATAAATGTAAGTAGTCCCCAGCTGAGTGAAGTAGAAATGTATGAGAAACCCAAAATATAAACCTGTGAAGCTTTGAACTGGTTTTGAAGATGCATTTTTCATGATGGAAAAGAAAAATCCAATATTAGTAAGTGGGGATAAAATTAATATTAAAGTGGTTCTTGAATTGCCTTTTAATTGGTAGATTTATTGGTTTTATACATGTGAGCTTCGCTACTGTACTTCTGATAAATATGTCCCATTTGAAAAAACGTAAACTTGTTTTAACATTGAGACACTGCTTGGAGGCTGGAATTTGGGATGGTGGATGCTTTCTCCCCTGTGCCCAGCAGCATACCAGATAGCTGAGTCATTCAGCACAGACCCACAGTTTCTGAATCTTATTTGTAGTAGGTTGCCACTCAGCGTGACACAGATCACGTTACTTACACCAGGTGTTTCGTGCTTCTAAACCTAACAAGATTTAAAAACCCGTGGGAGGTTTTGAAGATATTTTATGATCGCTTTTGAGGTCCCGTGTGAAGGCAATGTAGTAAAGCAAATGAAAAATACTCATTCTGGTTTTTTTAAATGAAGTCCTCTATAAAATATCTCCTGCTGGTTGCTGTCATTAGGAATTTCCATATTCTTACAGTCAATAGTGGTAGCATTGTATTTGGGTGGAGGTGTGAAGATAAATGTGTGGCTTAAACTGTAGCTCAGTGAAACTTTCTTTTCCAGCTACCAGTATGAATGTCAACGAAGTGCCAAATGAAGAGGGAAGTCTGGAGATAGACAGCAAAGTGGACGTCTGCCAGAATGGGCCAGAGTCGCTCTTCCCTGACTCTTCTGTATCTTTTGACCCCACCAGCAGAGCTCAGGGTCAAGAGTCGTCCCCAGGTGTGACTGGTTTCCATGACAGCCTAAGGAAGTCTCAGGGAACTAGTGCTGAGGGCATAGTTCTTAGAAAAGAAGCTTTGCAGTCACTCAAACTAAGTCTTCCCATGCAAGAAACTGAATTGTGTAAGCATCTGTTTATGGTGGCGCCCCTGCTTTCTCTTGCTGCATAAAGCTTTTTACTCTGAGCCTGGCTCTAGAATCCTATAACATAATTTAAGCTTGGACTAAACTTTTTGCAGTTTTTGCAATAAGCTTTTACTTTGAACTACAATTAATTTTCTTTCTGTAAACCACCCTCTGCTGCAGCTAAGGCACGTGCCTTACCGTTTAAAAATCATTCTCATGCTGGAGGGGAATTTATGCTTTCTGGGGCTGAAGCTATTCTCATCTTCTTCATTATTAGGATAACAGGTGACAAAAAAAAAGAACAGTGGAACCAGGAGATTTTAAGCTAAGTAATAAAGAGGGGAAGAGAAGAGCATTAAAGGGGAGAGAATGGGGAAGCCTTTCTGTTAAGGTTTCTAATGCTGCAGGAGTTTTCTGAAATAATATTTTCTAAAAGCCTTACTATAGGAAAGATTGAATGTGAGTTAAAAAGAAAGAAAATGCGTCTTTCTCTGACCTGTAGGGAATGAGGCCACCACTTAGGTCTTGTTTAGTTTTATATTTTTAGTACTGTCAGAAGTGCAGGACAGGTGAGATTAATTGATAGCAATAGTTTTGTTCTTGCTGGATCATCTCTTGTCATACATACATGGAGGAACTACAGCGTTTGCAAACTGAGCAATGGAAACACACAAGCTTTATCAATGCTTACACAAGGTTGTATTAGAAGAGGGTATTCTGAGGTGCATGCCAATAGGCTTTTCTTGCGTTCCTTGCTTAAGCATGAAGCATGTTGCTGGTGGTAGGAGGGGCTTTTTCCTTTTGCATCAGATGTGCCTGTGTTGAAGTTTTCTGTTTGACTGTAAAGTTGCCTTTCACTTCCAGGCTCAGTAGAGTCTTCACTCCCATTGGAGAAAGAAGAGCAAATAAGACTTCAAGCAAGAAGACGGCTAGAAGAACAGCTCAAACAATACAGAGTGAAGATTTTTAGTGAGTACCACACAACAGATCTAGATTCAGTGTGTTGTTGAGAAGCTTGAAAACTTTATCCTTTCTGTGCTCTAAATTACCATTTTCTCTGCTTTAAACATTCAGTAATTTTCTCAAATGTGGGAAAGCATTTTTTTCTTCTGGACATGCAAGATTTGGTTCTCTGTTACCTCATCGGTAACATACCATTTTGCACTACTTAAAATAGGGAGGAAAAAAAAACAAACCCAAAACTTAAGTAACCTAAATGTTACATTTTTCCTATATTTTTCAGTTAGCTTTTGGGCTCTACCTTGATCATTTTCACCATGCGCATACTGAGCCTTGATAGGGTTGATTGCTAGTTTAATTCACCTTGTTTATTAAATCGTGCATATATTTAAATATTAATGTAAAACTGTAGAGCTTTACATATTAAGTTGTACAGCAAAATAAGTGTTTGATGCTAGTTCAAATGTAACATTCTGGAATTTATCGTTGGCTCTTTGCTTCTTTCAGTCGAATCAGTCTACATCCAAAAACCGGCCCTCCAGCACCCTAGATCCTGAGCTGATGTTAAATCCAGAAATCTTGCCAAGAGCTAGCACTGTAGCAATGACGAAAGAATATTCCTTTTTGCGGACCAGTGTCCCCAGGGGGCCAAAACTGGGTAGCTTGGGACTTCCAGCATCATCAAAAGAGAGAAGAAGTTCAAAATCTAAGCCCAGTAAGATCCGGTCCTTGGCTGACTACAAAACTGAAGATTCAGGCTCTGGAAATGCTACTGGGAATTTTGTAGCTGCTGATTTATCTGGTGGGACTCTGAAGCAAAGCAGAAGTGGTCCAACATCAGTTGTTTCTGAGATTAGTCTGTCCTCTGACACAGATGATCGAATAGAGACTTCTTCCTTGGCAGGAGATAGCATTTCAGAGATTGATGGGAGTGAAGTGGGAATGAGGCTGGATGGAAATGAGAGTGACAGCTCTACCTACAGCAGTGTGTCAGGAAAAGGGCTGTATAACAGCTTACAGAATGCAGAAGGCAAACAGGGTATTCTGTATACAATAAACGGCCAGAAGATACATCCTGATGCAATGGGGCAATTTCCTTCAATCAGTGAGGTGCTACAGGCTGCAGCAGTGGAGCATCAAGCCCAAGGGCAAGAAGTTAATGGGGAAGTACGGAGTAGGAGAGACAGTATTTCTAGCAGGTAAGAAAGATGACTGTACAGCAAGGCCAATATTAGGCATTATACTTTCTTGGAACAGGCAGCCTATTACTCTTACCTTTTCTAACTTTGAATCCAGTTTTAACTTAAATTCATTATGATCAAATCTGTTGTTGACTTACAAATTCTAAAAGAAACTGAAAGGTCACTTTACTTGAGTGCCTATTTACTGAGAGTATCTTTAGAGAAAGATATCTTTGCCACTTACAGTCTGTTTTAAATGTACTGCTAGCAATTGCTTCTGTCTGTGTTTACTTGTGAAGCAGGCATTTGTTCACTGAATCGCTGATGGGACATTGATCTTTTAAGTCTGAAAGACTTAACTGACTCAGTGATGTTTATTATCATCCTTGTCCTGATCTACGCATGTACCTTTCAGACCTCAAATAGTTATGAAATGCCGAAAGTCTTGTCCTAGATACTCTTATCCTCTTCAGCCCTTTAGAATGAGATCTGCTTAGTCTCACAAGCTTGTGTGTATATGGTAGGTATTAAACTGTGATTCAGCAAGCAAGTGGATGACTGGTGAAGCAGTTAACAATGTAGTTGTGTTTTTTATCAGTTGTCTGCAGGTGCATGTTTTATGCATGCTAATTTTGAAATTGTCTTTTTTGTTGTTGTTGTTCAATAAAGTGCAATGCTCTGAGATGTTAAGGTAAAATCAGTTGTTGACAATTATTCCAGCTTAGACTTAATTCTAACAGTAATGAGAGAGAGAAGATCTTTTTCTCTAGCCTCCTTGGCTGCATATCAGGCAAGGTGCATAAGAAATCCTTTATATCAAATACCTGTTCTTCCTTCTTTTGCAGCAGCTGTTGGTACTTCTTAGGCACTTTCACGTTAAAGCAGACAATTGCGGACAATATTTGTGGAGGTTTTGTGCTCCCATTACATCCATTCATCTGCTTATAATGGGACATGCAGATACAGAATATAGTGAAGTCAGCTGTTGCAATTCTATAAGGTTACAAATATATGGGTGCCACGCTAGATTCTAGTTGCTGCAAATATAGGAAACTAATGTATAAAGCCTTCATGTGAATATAATTACTTTATCTCTTTGGATGGTGACAAAGGTTGTTTCACTGTGTTCCGGATCCATCACAAAGCCAGAAAAAAATGTCCTAAATTCTAGGTCACACATTGGAGTCTGAGTACTTCTTAATTTCAGCTTCACTTTTCTTTGGCTAGATGAGTGTTGTGTTCTAACCCTTTAACTCTGTATGTGCTGTCTCTGTCTCCAGTGTTTCTATGGAAAGCTCTATCGCAGGAACTCATGACGAAATGTTGCAGGTTCTGAAGGAGAAGATGAGACTTGAAGGACAATTAGAAGCACTCTCACTAGAAGCTAATCAGGTAGAAAATGAATTTGATTTTCTGTATTTAGCAAATTATATTAATATGTTAATTAATTTTCAAGAGCCGCCTCCTCATTACTTGTGGGAATTGTGTTTTGTAAAAACACTGTTGAATAAGGCACTTTGCAAGGATGCTGTGGTGGGTTGACCCTGGCTGGATGCCAGGTGCCTACCAGAGCTATTCTATCACTCTATCCTCAGCTGGACAGGGGAGAGAAAAAATATAACAAAAGGCTCGTGGGTTGAGATAAGGACAGGGAGGTCACTTGCCAATTACAGTCACAGGCAAAACAGACTCGACTTGGGGAGATTAGTTTAATTTATTACCAATCAAATCAGAGTAGGATAATGAGAAATAAAACCAAATCACTTTTCCCCCACCCCTCCCTTCTTCCCAGGCTCGACTTTGCTCCTGGTTTTTCTCTACCTCCTCCCCCCAGCAGCACAGGGGGATGGGGAATTTGGGTTGTGGTCAGTTGTTCACATGTTGTTTCTGCTGCTCCTTCATTCTCAGGGGGAGGACTCCTGACACTCTTTGCCTGCTCCAGCATGGGGTCCCTCCCATGAGGGACAGTACTCTACAAACTTCTCCAATATGAGTCCCTCCCATGGGCTGCAGTTCTTCACAAACTGCTCTAGCATGGGTCCCTCACAGGGGGTGCAGTCCTTCAGGAACAGACTGCTCCAGTGTGTGTCCCCCATGAGGTCGCAAGTCCTGCCAGCAAACCTGCTCCAGCATTGGCTTTTTTCTTCATGGAGTCATGGGTCCTGCCAGGAGACTGCTTCAGCACAGGCCTCCCACAGGGTTGCGGCCTCCTTAGGGCACCCACCTGCTCCAGTGTGGGGTCCTCCATGGGCTGCAGGTGGATATCTGCTCCACCATTAACTTCCATGGGCTGCAGGAGGACAGCCTGCCTCACCATGGACTTCACCATGGGCTGCAGGGGGATCTCTGCTCCAGTGCCTGGAGCATCTTCTCTCCCTCCTCCTTCACCAGCCTTGGTGTCTACGGGGCTGTTTCTCTCACATATTCTCACTACTCTGTCTGGCTGCAGTTGCTGTGGGTTTTTTTTCCCCGTTCTTAAATATGTTATCATAGACGCAGTACCACTATTGCTGATGGGCTTGGCCTTGGGCAGTGGCGGGTCCATCTTGGAGCCGGCTGGCATTGGCTCTGTTGGACATAGGGGAAGCTTCTAGCAGCTTCTGACAGAAGCCACCCCTGTAGTCCCCCCGCTACCAAAATCTTACCAGGCAAACCCAGTACAGAGGCTTAAGAGGATAAATACGTAGTGAATAAAGTTTTCAAAAGTTTCTTTTTTTTTTTGAAGTAATATTATGAGAAATGATAAATCCAGAGTAATGCTAGCAATGTCTACATAGCTGTATTTTATCTTTGTCTTGATTGATGGTGTAACACATACAATAGAAATCATTCTTCCTTAAAGTGTGGAAACATGTGTCTTATTAAAAATCCTGACATGGTTACTGACATATAATATAGTGCTATATATATACGTGTAATGCTATACGTCTTGTCTGTGATTTCCTCTGTATTTTCTTTGACTATTTGAAATACCTGCTAGGTGAGAAGTCACTTTAAAAAAGAATTTTTTACAAGCAAGTGGTCTTTGCCTTAGCATCTTCTAGGATGCTGGGCATCTTCTTTAATCAGCCATTAATGTGTTTTCTCATAAGACTTCTGTATTTTGATTTTTCTGGACACATTCAGGCTCTCAAAGAGAAGACTGAGCTACAAGCCCAGCTTGCAGCTTTGAACATGAAGCTTCAGGCACAGATGGAGCACAGCCAAAACAGCCAGCAGAAGCAGGAATCTCTGAGCTCAGAAGTGGCCACGTTAAAGCAGTCTTGCTGGGATCTGGAACGAGCAATGGCTGACCTGCAAAATACCTTGGAAGCAAAGAATGCTAGTTTGGCTTCTTCAAATAATGATTTGCAGTTAGCAGAGGAGCAGTACCAAAGACTCCTGATGAAGGTTGAAGATATGCAAAAAAATGTTCTCACCAGAGACAGCACAGGTGGGATGATGTAAATGTCAGTCTTTAAAATTTGTTATTCCATAGATCATTTTATTTCAACGTAATTCTGAAGTTCAGGAAGAAGAAGGAATTTTAATTTGTGTTTCATTGATGTCATATGAATAAAATGGTCTGAGTTTTAAGATGGTTGGTTTTTATTTCGTGTCACAGTAGTGCCACAATTTGCAAGCTGCCTCTGCCCACTTGGAGAGGGAGGCATAAGTAACTGTTTCACAGTGGACTAATGGGTTTTTAAAAAAACTGCACAAATATTGGTTTGTAGCAATGACTCTACATGCCAGATACCTTCTTCCTGATTTTTAATTAGTTCATATTTTCTGCCTTTAAGGAACTATTAATGCTTAAAGAAGTGATTAATTTATTTTAATTTTATTCTGCATATGTCTTGATACTTTGTATTCTAGCATTTCTCCTCACTTTTGCAGGAAAAGCCAATCTTTATGTAATTAGGCATATACGTTTTTGTTCAAAAAGAAAGAAAAAAGAAAAAAAAGAAAAATCTATGAATGTAGCAATAATGCTTGAAAGTGTGTGCATAAAAATAGAACAATGGAGTGTGCTAGTCCAAGTTCTTTATTTTTCTTTTTCTAGTTCATGATCTGCGACAGCAATTGGCTTCCTTACAGAACCAGCTTCAGAAGGTGCAGCTGGAACGGACCACACTGACCAATAAGCTAAAGGCATCTGAAACAGAAATCACATCACTCCAGAATGTGCGGCAGTGGTACCAGCAGCAGCTTGTACTAGCACAGGAGGCACGTGTCAGGCTGCAGAGTGAGATGGCCAATATACAGGTATTATGATTTACTTGCATATGGCAGGACTGAGAATCTGTTCTTTTTAATGTTAGTTTTAGCCAGAGGACGTTGTTTATGAGCTCAGACAAGGGAGCTGGTCTCATTTGTGTATTCTTCAGGTGGAGAGCAGCGGGTCTGGTGTTTTGTTTTTCATTGTGAAGGGTTAGTTCAGGTTAATGCTGAGACATAAATTTAACCAAAGCCCCTGCTTTCTGTGGATGAAGATCTGCAGTGCCATGAAGGTAGCAGCTAAGTCACAAATAGATTCAACGTGATTTTTTTTTTTTTTTCCTGAAACTCTTAAATCTGTTGGCCAAATTTTGACTGTTTGTATGTGAATTTTTTTTTTCCCCCTTCCTTTAGGCTGGGCAAATGACTCAAGCGGGTATGTTGGAACATCTCAAACTAGAGAATGTGGCACTGTCTCAGCAGCTGACTGAAACTCAGCACAGATCCATAAAAGAAAAGGAACGTATTGCAGCACAGCTGCAAAATATTGAGGTATGGTTGTAGGTGGTCTTCATGAATTACGTTCTGCCTAGGTTGTGTATTTAGGTTTTGCAAACTCGAGGCTATTCTGGCAAAGTAACATTGAATTGTTATGAGTTGATTCAATTTTGCGTGACATCATGAACAGTAAGAGGGAGCAAGGCTATGTGATTCCCATTCCAAGGTGATACTTGCATTTTCAGCTCTGGTATTTGTTTTTAATTGAATTTTAAAGGAGGATGTAAATGTTCTGCTTTGCCCTTTCATGAGCTTTTTCAAGGGAAAACTTAATTGGAAGTTAAACTAAGTAAAGTACTTCTTAAGTGTGTGAAATTGCTTGCTACTCAGATTTGTCCTTCTTGCTGTCCAGTAAGAAAAGGGGTAAAATCTGAAGTACAGTATGCTCACTTTCAAAGCATATAGAACCTTAATTGAATTTCAGTGAAATTCCTACTTCTGAGTCTCAAAGGGCCGTAAAGCAGCAGGTCAGTCAATGTTACTAATAGTGGTTGCATAAATGATAGGAATTGCTGTTTCACAGAGTAGCTACAGCATCCAGGGAATCTCTTTTGTTTCAGAACTTTTCCAAACAACTTAATTTTAATAAAGATTCTTTTTCTTTACGTCTTGTTTAATCAATTTAGAAAGGGCAGGGTGTTATTTAAGAGGAGTTCTGATTCTCACAAGTATACAAGACATTCACTGTATTCTAAAGTGTCTTAAGTATATGAATGGGTGGCTTCAGTAAAGACACACAGGTGTGTAAGGCAGACATTAGAAATATTTTTGTTTATGTCTTTTCTCTAGAAATTTTCTTGATAATTCACCTTTCCCCCCACCTATTGAAATTGTAAAAGTTGATTCCTTGCTTTCTCTGTACAGGCTGACATGTTAGATCAAGAAGCTGCCTTCATGCAGATCCAGGAGGCTAAAACCATGGTGGAAGAAGACTTGCAGAGAAAACTAGAGGAGTTTGAGGATGAGAAGGAACAGCTTCAGAAAATGGCTGATTCTGCAGCAACATTGGAGCAAGACTTGGAACAGGTAGACTGTTATTAGGTAACTTCCCAAGGATTTCAAGGGAAAATCTTATTTGGCTGAAAAGGCAATAGTAAATAGATCCTGAGCTCTAAGTTTTTTCTTTTTAAAACCTGAAAGATTGCTGCAAAAAAAGGAAGTCAATATTAAAGTCCCAGGTGAAAAGATTCCCTCTTTTTCAACCATCTCAGTAACAGTACTTGTTTGAAATTTCAATACTACTGTCTTGTAGATGTTGGGGTTGTTTTTTTTTATAGTGAATTCAGTATGTGATTATTCTAAGTGTAGACAAGAAGCATAAATCCATGTTCAAAGTTGGTAGGCAGTCAGGATATCATTACATACACTTACAGTGTAATAAATCTGTACTTTGCTACAGAATCTTGCTTTGATCTTGTGTAACTTCACAAAGGCAGCATGTCAAGGTCTGGAATCAGATGAAGTATGTGATAGCTCAGTATTATATTCCATGTAATTATATGGCATTATCATTAATAACACAGAATTTACCCAGTATATCTACTGTGGACAAAATTTTCAAATAAAAATTTAGAATACTGTTTTACTTACTATTTTAGGTTTGTCATTCTTGTCATTGCTTAGCCTATAAGATTACGGGTGCTGCAGAAGGCAATCACTGCAATTAATAGAGCAAACAAAAGTAGTCACCTAGGAAAGTTAAAAAGTATTTTCACCTTTTGCTGTTTTCTCCTAGAAGCTGAAGTATTAGTTAAAGTATTTTGATTGAGGTGTGCTTGCAAAGATAACATTCATTTTGTATGAATTTAATCTTAAAATACTTCTTCCCAGGTCAAGCTGACTTTGCATCAACGAGATCTGCAGCTTGAGTCTTTACAGCAAGAACACCTAGACCTAATGAAGCAATTCACTCTGACCCAAGAGATGTTGAACACCAAAGAGCAGTCCCTAGATGACCTTCAGACACAGTATGATGAACTGAAGGCCAGATTAGAAGAATTCCAAAGTGACGCTACTTCTAAAGATGACATGATCCAGTATTTGCAGAATGAGAAGATTGTCTTGGAAGTAGCTCTGCAGGCAGCAAAAGCAAGCAAAGAGCAACTTGACGAAGGAGCAATGCGCCTTGGAGAAGACACAGAAGTAGCATCAGAAATCTTGGAACATCTGAGGCAAGAAATGGCAGTCAAGTCGAGCCAGGTAATGAATCGTTAAAAGTATCTTCTTTAAAACAGCTGTTGCAGGCAAGTATTGCCACAGGCACATGACAGAGCCAATTGCATGAGAGGAGAGATTGGTACACATGAGTTTGTATATGTGTGTAGTTGTGAGATTCAGCTAGTGGGAGTATTTTAATCAACTCTCTCATTTTTCCCTGTTGGTAGACTATCTGACACTTTACATCCTATTACATCATTGGTGAGCTTACAGTTTAATATCCCTTGGTATCTATATGCGTTGATGGATTTGTGTGGTATGGGATGGGAAGCTGAGGTTAATTGATCTTGTTCTGACTGTTTCCAAGAGCCACCATCTTTCTAAAGTCTACCAGTTTTAAAACACAGTAATTTTGAGTACAGATCACATTTTTGGAAGTGATTTTTTAGTGTGCTCCTTTTCTGTGGCACTGTGGGCCAGACATCTTCCTTAGGCAGTAATTTGATCATGTTTAATTGTGCCTTTTCTCTTGAAACAATAGAGCAGGGTTTGCTTTTGCATAGTGCTATATACCAACTGAGGTTTTTTTCTAGTCATTGAACTATTTTACAAGATCAAGCCTAATGCATATGCTTATTCTTTTTGTGACTGCCTTAAATTGTGGTGACTCTTCCTTTCACGCTTTAGTTTGATAGTCATGTATGATCTGTATCTTTTAGAGCATCCAAGCTCCATAGCAAGAGATTTCTTATTGAATACTGGTAGTGATGAGTTCCCAGTGATCTTTTAGAGATTTCTTTTGAAGATAGGAGTGAGACTTGATAGTATTGCCAGTAGAAGTATTGAAGAACTGTGGAAATATATTTAACGTAAAGATTGGGACTTTTTTGTCTTCCAAGAGCCAGCTGGTTTCTTCATTTGATCATGTATGTGTGAACAGATGCCATCCAAATACAACATATATATGCTAATGATGCATTCTAAAACTTCAGTGGCAGGATAAAGGGGACTTCATGCATTCCTGAGGGTTGACAAGGCTGACTATGTGGTGACTTGTGTGAATGTATTTCTGTATAAAATGCTGTGTTATCTAACAGTGCCGTTGAGATGCCTAGTCAGAAACAGGATCCTCATTAGATTAGGCAATTGGGTCAAGCATAGCAAAAGATAATGTCACTGCTTGACATAATGTAGAATATGACATTTGGCATGTAAAGCAACACGTTTGCTTTTTTTTTTTTTTTTTAATCTGGCAGATAGAAAATCTGCAACAAGAAAATGCCAGCCTTAAAAAACAGGTTCAAAAAGTGAAGGAACAGTTCCTGCAGCAGAAGGTAAGCAAAACCAGGCTATTTCAAGGAAGTAAAACCAAGGAATATATGGGGTTTTTTTACAGTGAAGACATGTACTTCTGAGGGCTTTGTGAGGACACTAGAGTCAATTTTCTATATCAAAGAACTTTGACATAATTACACAGTTTCTGTGTTTCGTACAGTTGAATTTTTATCCGTACTTGATGTAAAAGCAGATCCGACAACTAATTCACGCTTTCATTGGAGATTGCCAAATGATCCACCATATAAAATCTCTCTCTGGTTTCCCAATACTAAGTTTGCAAAAGCACTCATGAAAAGCTTCAAGTGTAATTTTCCTGCAGCTTTAAAAAGCAATAGTTGCTTCAGTAATTAAATGGAAAATAAGTGCTTTATGGCAAATTTTATTTTGAATTTACACAGTTTTTAAATATTAATTTGAAATTGATATGCCATTAGTGTTGCACATATGTGTCTTATAGGGTGTCTAGGGTGGCACCATTAATTTGCTGCTTGATTGCTTATTAACCTAATGCCAAAGGTTGTTTTAGCTTGTTAGGCTTAAGTTTGGGAAGACTGTTTCAGCTGTCAGTCTCAGTTAAGCCCCTCTTGTCATGACGAAAGTTATAAGTGTATGCATGAGATGGTTAAATTTTTTTACAATTAGTTTAGCTTGGAAAAAGGCATGTAATTAGTGCTGTTCCATAAAGAATGTGAAGAGTATCCCTTACTGCTATTAACACTCTTATTCAGAGGTTTTTATGAACTGCTGTTACATTCTGATATTTGATACCTGAGCTTTCATAAAAGCCTTTGAACCAGAGTAAATATGTTACAGAAGATGATGCACCCCTCCAAACTAAAATGATGTCAGTAAATACTTTATAGTAAATTACTCTAAAGTTTAAAAAGCTGTAACAGAGGTGACACTGTCCTCTTGAAACTCTTGTGTCCAAGGTAATGGTGGAAGCTTATCGAAGAGATGCAAGTTCTAAGGACCAGCTGATTAGTGAACTGAAAGCTACAAAGAAGCGGCTGGACTCAGAAGTGAAAGAGTTAAAACGAGACCTACTAAAAATTCAAGTTGAAAAACAGTCACTTGAATCGGAACATTCGAAACTACAGAAGGAAGTATCTCAGGTTCAGCAGCAGATGGTGGAAATAGAGAATCATCTTCAGTCAGTGCAGAAAGAACGAGATGATATGGAAACACGCCTACAGGTATGGAAGGTGTTAAGCTTTGGACTTTGAGAATGTCACATCCAGGATACATTGCTATTTCTATTAACTTTGGAAATAAACAGTATGACCACCTGCAAGTTAAGGTTCTTGGTTAAATATTTAATATTGCCTATACATTTGAGCATATACCTGCCAAAATTCTGTAAGTACATGATCAATACAGTACTTACTAACATCTCATGCAAGTAGGTGGGAAGGAGCACGCTACAGGAGTGGTAGAGGTGTGATGTGGAAGCAGATTCCTTCGTCCCAAAGTGAACTCCATCTGAGAGCAAAGACCAAACTAGAATTCTGTTCATACATGTTATGGTGGTGGCCACAGAGGGAAGAATTAAAGAAGGAATAAAGAGGAAAGAGAAAGGAGGCAGAGAACCTTGGAACAGTTTCTGTTTAGAGGTGGAAATAATTTTGAAATTTCATGCTTATTCTTTTAGAATCCGACATACAGCAAACATGCTTTTGTTCTTACTCTCACTGGTACTTTTTTCCTTCCTATTAAGTCTTTGCAGTTTGATAAGGAACAAATGACATCTCTTGCTGAGGCAAATCAGGCATTAAAACAACAAGTAGAACACATGCAAGAAGAAGCAAAAAAGTAAGTGTTCTTTTAGCACAGACAAAAGAACTACAGCATTTGTTTTTCATATTCACCTTTTTAGCAATCGTTCTTTTCCTGTTCCCTAGTCTTTCCTTTGGGAAATTTAAATAGTCAGAGAGTCATAGAGTCATATCCATGGCAAAGTGTTGTTTGCATGCTACACAGGAGTTGCAGCTTCTCCTCTGATTCACTTATGCTTTTAATCAACAGTATCTGCCATACAACATACATATTGGAGTTAATCCTGATTGCCATTCACTGAATTTTGTCCTTGACTAGCTAGAATGTTGGCATTAATGAGAACTATATTTATTTTCCATTGGAGTTCACAGGGTTTTTATGATACTGTCATATCTACCACAGATCTCAGATTAGACTGGATTCTTACTCTAAAGTCTGTGTTATTTTTAGGAAGTACTATATATTCCTTCATATTGGAGTTTTAATAATTCTGACAAAGACCTCTTAATTACAGTAAGTATTTTCTTAGAATGTTATCAGGAGTCTCCAAGGTATTGTCTTACAAAGGGCTAAATTGTACCTTACCAACCTGATGGCTTTCTCTGATGAGACAGGTGACTCTGGGACAAGGGGAGAGAACTGGATGTTGGTTTTTGTTGGGCCATGTGAAGTACTAATCTTTCAGTACTGTTTTCAGGCAGTTTTTGTTTTTACCTGATGTTTTGTTTTTCCTTTCACTCCAGGGCCATTACTGAGCAGAAACAGAAAATGAAGCGTCTAGGGTCAGATCTGACGAGTGCTCAGAAAGAGATGAAAGTAAAACACAAAGCCTATGAGAATGCAGTTGGCATCCTTAGTCGTCGGCTACAGGAATCCCTCGCTGCAAAGGAATCTGCCGAAGCAGAGTTGAGCAAGCTAAAATCTCAGATCACTGATGGTGGAAACAACCAGATTGCTCAAGTATGCAGATGTCTTTAACATTGTTAGTACAAAGACAGAGATAACTTGTTATTAAATACAAGTCTTGAAATATTATTTTACACTGAAGTGTTGAAAACATTTGGAACATAAAGCTAGAGAAGAACATGGGATCAGTGTTCTGAGCACAGAGAATTTCCTTAACTATGTTTGAGAGAGGGGGTTTGGCAGGCTTTGGTTTTGTTGGTGTGTTTTTTCTTTTTTGTTTTTTGGTTTTTTGAATTATATCTTTTGGGTTAGCACTTGTAATCTGAGCTCAGGCACTCAGCATCTGAAGATTTTTCCAAAGTTCTAAATCTTACTGCTTTTTTCTCATTGACAGTTAAAAGTTCTTCTCATATATGTTGTGCCTGTGATAAGAAAATTAATTTACTGGGTGAAGCAACAATTCCTTGGACCAATGGAGCAAGATATCAAATATGCTAACAGCAGTAGCTGGATGCAAGGGTGGAAAGCTCTGAGCAAGACCTTTACATTAAGCACTAGCACCTCATTTAATATTTTTTTAGAGAAGTAGGGCTTTTTAATAAAATCAAAATTACTCCTGTAAATGGGTGATACATTAATCATGCTTGTGATCCCTTTGTCTTTAGGAAAGGATTCAAGCTCTGGAGACAGAATTGCAAGCTGTTAGCAGTAGTAAGTTGATGCTGGAAAAAGAGTTGCAAGAAGTGATTTCACTTACCAGCCAGGAGCTTGAAGAATACAGAGAGAAAGTGCTGGAGCTTGAGGATGAGGTGATTGCTTGAATTTTCATGGTAGATGGGAAGGTGACAGTAAAACGTGCCTGAGAGGCAGGGAGAAATTTTAGTACCATAACTTTATTCCAACAGTGGCAGAAATCGGAATCTTAGGTAGGAAACATCGTGTCAGTGACACTTGCTAATTTTGCTGCCCTGTGCTGGTTCTTTGTGGTTTCATGAATCATTGTTGTATAGGGGAAAAGAAGATGAGAGAGAAAAGTAGTTACTGTATTAGATACCAGCCGTGTCTGGTCATGAGACAGTGAGGATGCATGGATCATTATCTTCTGAAACTATTTGGAGTCATGGATGCTCAGTGATTTTTGAGGGCAGGGTGGTAGTGTTCAGTTGTAGAGTTGCACAAATACAGATATCAAATACTTTTGATCTGCACCTGAACGGTACTCCTGGGATTCTGCTTTCTAGCAAGCATTTTAGTCTTCCAAAAGGAAAAAAATACCTAACTGAACTTACTTTGAAGTGTTCATTTAAAAAAGAAAAAAGCAAAGGGGAAAAAAAAAAGAAATCCCACTCGGGGAAAGCAAACTTGTTTAATGAGTTTAGTTCACAAGTTTTTTGTGGTAGTAATCTGGAGTTGTTTGGTTTTGTTTGTTTGATTTGGTTTTTTTCTTTGGCTATAGCTTCAGGAATCTAGAGGCTTCAGGAGGAAGATAAAACGTTTAGAAGACATAAATAAGAAGTTGGCCCTTGAACTGGAGCATGAACGTGGAAAACTTACAGGTCTCAGTCAGTCCAATGCCGCTTTGCGGGAGCACAACAATATCCTTGAAACCGCATTAGCAAAAAGAGAGGCAGACTTGGTACAACTGAATCTACAGGTATTCGACCTTTTGCTATAGTATCTTCAGAAAGGAGTTAGCTCATATTTCTGATAACAGGATGTAGCCACCTCCACTCACCTGACACAAAGTTGGTGCATTTTCTCCAGATCTGAGTCTCCTGTGTGTTGTATAACAGCAGTAATATAGGGGGCTAAACAAGGGATCAGAAATGAGACTTTGCACTAAAAAACAAATCACACGAGAATATTTGGAGTAGTGAAAGGGTAGTTCACTTAAATTAGTTGAAACATACAGACTGTGTTACATACAGATCCATTGAGATGAACAATTTTTATGCCAATAGTAATATATTCGTGGGGTAGAAGCAAATGGGGATACAGACAATGAGCTACCATTTAACCATAGGTACTTTTAATGTTGAGGGAAGAGTTACCACTGAACAGCAGAGAGAGGTTTTGCAATCCCTGCGTTGGCTTGTGTTTGTATTTCCTCTACTGGCATTTCTGGTCTTCCAGTGAGCCTGCAGAAAACGTGCATTTGTTTTCCAACATGATATAGGTTCAGGCAGTCCTAAAGCGGAAAGAGGAAGAGGATCAGCAAATGCAACAACTTATTCAAGCTTTACAGGCTTCCTTAGAGAAAGAAAAGTCAAAAGTTAAAGAACTTAAGAAGCAGGTAATGGCACATCTTTTGTTTTATTTACTTAAAAGGTGATTTAAATGCGAAGTATTTAAAAAGTAGCTTGAAACAAAATCTACGCTTTATAACATACTGCTTCCTGCAGGGTCTCTGTCACAATGGCCAGTGGCTGAAAGATCAATTGTCTTTTCTGTTGTCCTGTGTTAAGCGTACTCATTGACTACCAAGAAAGTTCCATTGTAATGCATCCTGAAGTGATGATACTTCATCCAGAAATTCACAATGAAGAAGCAGTGTGGCAAATGTGCTTCTTCCATTATATGTAGTTATTAACCACCATTAGCATTAATAAGGATAACAACACTAATAAGTTTTTCTAGAGAAAAAGTGAACTGTTAACAGCTGCACAACTTCCTTCTTGATTTGTTTTGTACCCTTTAGTCTAGCTCCCTTTGATTCACCTACAGTGATAAAACAGAGAAAAATTTCTTCTTTTTTTTTTTTTTTTTGTAGGAAGCAGCAGCCAAAGTGGATGCAGCACATAACCGCCGTCACTACAAAGCTGCTGTGCTCGAGCTCAGTGAAATCAAGAAAGAGCTACATGCCAAAGAACTGCTTGTCCAAGCCCTTCAGGTTGAAGTGGACAAACTGCAGTAAGTAAATGTCCAAGTTCTTAGAGAATAGTAAATAAAACAAATCCTCTGAAAAAGCATTAGTGAATTTTTGGTTTTGCTCCTCTGGAGTGGATTATGTTGAAATGTAGCCCAGCTGAGCCTGACCGTAAGATGCATGTTTGGACTCTAGGCAAATACTTGCATTTTTCTCTCTCTTCATAATTCAGTTAGACCTGGAGTGTGCTGTATTTAGGCTTCACTGTCTGCTTTTTTTATAGTTTCAACACAGATTTCTACTATTTCATGTTACTAGTAAGGATTAACACTTCATAGATACCCTATTACTTTTTTTTCTTTCACATTCCTGAGGAACTACATAGAGGATAAGTTTGATTGTTGAATATATTCCACAATATATTAAAATTCAATTTGTTGTCTTGTATAGAAGGTATTTTCTTAAATTATAAGAAATTATCAGACCTACATGAGAATGGATATGAGGTTAACCCTATTCCTCCTAAAACAAAAGCAAAATTGATATATTTATGCATCTGTCTCGTAAAATCTTTTTGTGATTTAACTCTTGCTGTGAATATGTTGGAAAAGCCTTCAGTCAAAGCTGTAACTAACCAGGTTCCATGCGCTGTCCTGTCATGTATGGTTACATAGCTAACCCGGTGAAGTACTTGTTTTAAAGGACAGATTGAATAACTGCTGTGTCTGTTAATCCCGCTGTGCAGGGTAGAGGATGAAAAACGTTCCCAGGAGGTATCACAGTTTCAGCAAGAGCTGGCAGAAGCCAGGTCTCAGCTCCAACTTCTGCAGAAAAAGCTGGATGACAAGCTCACTGAACAGCCTGTAGTAAGCCAAGAGGTAAAACCTACAAATTTACTGTGTTTATCCTTATTTAATGATAAATTGTATGATTTCATTTGCTTTTAATTCAGCTTTTTTTTTAAATTAAGTTTTGCTAGGTTTTCTTAGAACCAGAAAGGGTTCATGAGACATAATAATATATTTCAGATTTTGTGGTTGACTGTACCTGTAGATAATTCTAAAACTTTCCTCCCCGGTAGGTGGAAGACCTCAAGTGGGAAGTAGAACGAAAAGAAAGAGATATCGAAACACTTAGGCAGCAGTTGGATATGAGTGAACAGCGCAGCCACAAGGAGTTAGAAGGGATACAAGTTGTCTTGCAGGTATTTAATCTAGCCTGTGGAGATTCTGATGGATAACTGGTATTGCTGTAAGGGGATAATTAAAACAGTATTTTTATTGTTTAAAAGCATACTTATACTGATACTTTTCAAATAAATTTTGATTCATAAAAACTTATTCACTGCATGTTTTGCAGTGTCTTTTTTCAGTTTTACTTTGACTGTGCTGTTAGCTAGTTATTTCCTTGACCTTACACCATTAAAATAGGATACTGACTTTTTAAATCTAATTCCTGGTTTTCTGGCAGGGCAAATTGGTTTCAAATAGCAGTGCTATGTGTTACTTCTTTCTCTGGTTTCCCCTGGAAACTGGAAAAAATGATAAAAACATTAGTTGGCTGGAATTTTTATACCATTTCCCTGTACCACATTGATTCTCTTTTTTTCATTTAGAATATCAAGGCTGAGTTGGAAATGGTGAGGGAAGACCTATCAGCGACTCAGAAGGATAAGTTTATGCTGCAGGCTAAAGTGACAGAACTGAAGAACAGCATGAAGTCTCTGCTGCAGCAGAACCAGCAACTGAAGTCGGACCTGAAGCTCGGCAAGATGAAGAAGGTATTTAAATAGGAAGAATACATGTTGTAGGGTAGCGGAAAATACGCTGCTAACGCTCTTAAATTAAAGCACCAGAAAAGCACTTTGCTGCAGGAAGCCTGGTGAAAACTCTGAACTGAAATGCCTGCCTGTGATACAGACTTACTGATGTTCTGATATGTAAATGATAAATACAGGAAGATTTGCAGGCAAAAGTAACTGTTCTGATCTCGACTTCCCACCTTTTACTTCAGAAATCTGTGTATTTAGCATATTATTTAAAAATTACATTTTGACTTACAATAATAATAAAGCAAAAAATGTAGCGCTTAAATAATGAATCATGGGCAAATGTGGAGTTAATATCTTCTTATAGTTAGTACCTTCTTAATGTTCATGTCTGTCCTCTCCATACTGTCTAGTTTTTCATCCTTCCACAATTTCTAAAGGTAACTATCAGTGGTTTCTTTGAGTGTTCTGATTTGCTACTAGTACACAAAAAA